GCGTGCGCATGTAGTCAAAGGTTACCGTCAGTTATGCTCAGGACAAAGAAAAAGCAGCAGCAGCACTACGAAAACCAACAACAACAACAACTATGGCAGTGGCACGAGCAGGCGCAGCAACGGGGATGTAAAAGGGAAAAAGAGGGGATAATATTGGTGAGGACTGAGGGTAGTGGGTGAACAACTCGCCCCCGCCACTCAGTCCCAGTGAGTGGGAGACTACTGAGCTCCGTGCCCAAAACTTACGCTTATATAGGGGAAGAAAATGGGCGTTGCTAACGTAGGTGTATAGATGACCTTAACCGGGCTGTAAGATGTGCCTACCTTATACCTAGCAGATCACATACGGATGACCTGAGAGGCCATAAAACTCCTTCCCTTTCCCTTTTTTTAGGTTTCAATAGCCCTCACCGTATTTGTAGCACAGGGCTTAACGGGCAACCCTACCAGTCGTCCATACAAAAAATTTTTGGCTTCTCGTGTAAGACGCGAGCCGTCCCGAGCGGAACGGAGCCGAGTTTTAGTAATTGCTTGTTTTTTTGCCTTCAAAATTTCACAGGATCAAAGGCTGACTTCACCCCCAGGCATCCATTCTACCCTGTTTTCGCCCACTTGGAACTTTCTCTCAGCTTTACTTAAGCATCAGTCTCAAAAATAGGAAAGTCTGATTACGAGTTTTTGTGGAACAGCTTTGCCTAAGCAACGGTTTCATAAATAGGAAAGGTTGATGACGGGTTTTTGTGGGACAGCTTTACCTGAGCATCAGTTTCATAAAAAGGGAAGTCCCTTACTGATGACGGTTTTTAACGAATCAGTTTCCACCAGCAAAACCTTAGTTTCTTTTGCTCTTATTCATAAAGTCACATTTGCTTTAATTTACTTTTATTTTTATACGCAGTGTTGTCTTTTTCTCTTTACTGCTATCTTCAGTTCTTGCCCCGAGTTCCTGACTTGCATCCTCATTCCCCTTCTCTACCCTGCTCCAAATCCTGCTAGCAAACAAGATATAGACCCCTCTCCATCCCTACTATAATATTACTGTCAAACAAACAGTATTTACCTTACCCTACC